AAACGTGTTAAAATGAATAATCTCAGTAATTATTGTTTGAACAAGGTGTTGCCCAATTCAGTGCATTTTGGTTCCATTAACAAAAAAAAGAGGAAAAAAGGCGACTCAAAGACCGACTGAGAGCAGAGCAGGAGTTTAAATGAGCTGCTCGACCAGCGCTGTGTCCATGAGAGGCTTATTAATAATCAAGGAATAAATATCAAGCCTGGAAACCTGATATGTAACGGACTGAATGTTGTGTTTTTAAAGTAATCTCTGCTCGGCGTGCGGGCGCAGGCGGTTGCCACGGCAACAGGTGGCTCAAACGACAAAGAGACAGAAAGTAAAAAGGTAGGAGTGGTTTAGAGTTGATCGTCTGTTCGGGTTGTTTGTCTAACGTTGCTGTGGCTCATCAATCACACCTGCTGCAGTTTCTGAACATTCAATAAACGACAAACTTGGACTAATTACCTCGTTCATTTGTGAGTATGTGTCTCAACAAACATCAAATGGGACAAATATATTTAAGTTTAAACAAATTCTACTGTGATAATTATGTGAAATTAAATGAATTATGTCCCGACTTCAGAAGATTTGCCTTTACCTTTACTGGGCTCTCTGGTTCCTCCTATCAGTCTGTAGTTTCTCACATTTCAGTCATCAAACCAAAGTTCAGATCCACCATGACTGACTGACCTGCTGGCATCAGGTCTGAAACCAGCTTCTGACTGAGAAACCAGTAACCTGCTCCCAGAGTCAGAATCTCACTGAGGAAGAAACTGGATCAGGTTTTCTGTCACTTTATTATTTCTGCTATAACTGATGTATATTCGCATATAAAATAAGTCAATAGAGTTTAATTTGCAATTTTTATGTCTTTGTGTCATGAGGTAGATCTCAGGCGGCTGGTGAGAGAAAAAGTAGAAAGAAAAGTCTGGACACCCCTGGGCTAATGCCTTTTACTCTGCCTACATCTCCCAGAATGCTGTGCAGTTCTGTAGTTCAGTGAATATTCTATATATTGAATATTTAATATTCTATCAGACATTTTATGTATTGATATTGACCAGGTGTCTGTGGTAATCTATATGGTTATTGATTGATTGTCCAGCTCAGCTCCTCAACAGCCTGAATTATTCTGAAAACTAAAAAATTTCTGCTTTCTTCTCACATAAATCTAAAACTTTGTTAGAAATCCTCCCTGCAGTCAAACTCGTCTCATTCTGAGAGAAGTTTCCAAGTTCAAACTTTCTGTGAGTGATGTCGACCTTTGACCTGAAGGACGAGCTCAGGCTCCTTAGTTCCCGTCTTCCATCGTTCCGTCGGCATAGCGATGCGGCTGCAGCGTTTGAAGCCAACGCGGCTCCATCACTTCCTGAGACGAGAGGCGGGCTGAGCCGCCGGACCTGAGGAGAAACCTGCCGGAGGCGGACGTGACGGGAAGCTAACAAGAGCTAACTGCCTCTCAGAAGAAGAAACGGTTCTAAAATAATAATGACATGATTCTGAGGCAACATTAAGCCTGAACCAGGCATAAGGAAACGATCACAGATCCTTGTTCTCTCAGTAGGTCGCCTCTCACTGTCTACACTTGCTGGAACCTGTCAGATTACATATCAGCCCTTCTGTCTTTTCTAGAAAACTACTAATTAAAAGAAGAGTAAAAATAAATAAACATTTGGTTAGTTTAAATCACTTTTGCGCTGACAACAGATACATAAAGCAACTTATTGCAGAAGTTGCCTGACTGAGAACAATAGTTGGATTGGATTATGTTCACCCAGCAGGCCTGGATGCTCAATTCTGTTTTTCTGCTGAAATCCGATCTACTTCTGCGTTATCGTTCATGCTACTGATTAAATGCAGCTATAATCGGACTATGAACGGTTTGCGACCTTAAAGTGACTCAAGAAGAAGAACGTGGCTGTCCCCCCAGAGCCCGCCATTTACTGCAGTAAAATGGCCGCCACCGTCTCTGGATGGATTGTAAAGTTGCTGAGAGCGACAGCATGGTCAGCAGACGAAGGAACCTGATAAACGGAAAGCTAACAGCAACTAAACCGCTTCTAGTGGAGCACTGACTGCAGCTTCTGACCCGGTTCTGACCGGGTTCTGTTGGCTGTGTGGTCGGTTGGGATGTGATGCATTCACTGACTCGGACTGCTTTCATCGCTTCATTATTACCATTTTCAGACATTGTTTACGTCCAGATTCTTCTTCTGCTGCAGAATTATGACGCACGTCTCACATTAGTGACGGAAAAGACGGTAAAATGCGACATGAGCGTTCAGACGGTTCGAAAACTGATTTTATTTTTGGGTGAAAAATCTGAATCGGGTCGTTCAGACGGCAGTGAAGGGTTTTGGTGGCATTCGGCTGCTGTGAGCCTCAGTGTTGGTACATCAGGAGTGATCAACATGAACACATCGACACCGGCTTGTGTTTTTGATTTTTCCCTCTCATTTTGTTGCTGTTTGTGTTTCTGGAGGGCGGGGTTACGAGCTTGGTCATGTGACAGTGATGCAGCAGAGGATTATGGGTGATTAGCTGAAGCAGAGTGTTAGCAGTGTGTTGGTTTATCACCCAGTCAGAAGGATGGAGAAGTTCACCTGGTGTCGGTATCTGCCCTGTTTTGCATTCACAAGCATTTAGTTTTAGTTTCTCCTTCTGGTCCCACAGTGAACGGCGCAGCTCGGCTCTGCTGCTCGACTCGCTGTACCTCGGTTTCCCTTTTACATCTTCATTTGGCCGCCTGTGAACAGCGTGAAGCTCAGGTCTGAGTCGGTCTTCCTGGGAAAACAACAGTCCAAATGTTTTCCTTCAGACAGGCAGATTGAATCTCCATTTTTGCAGAATGGAGAATGGACAGTCCCGTTTCCATGGCGATGTCAGAACATCCCGCGTAGTTACAAAATGGAGGGCGACAGAGCGGATTATTTTTTAAAACGGACTCTGGGACATTCTGAATCGCAGTAAGATGAGAATCATGATTCTCATGTGGAGCATTTTGAACGAAGCTTCACCAGAGGAATCCGGAGCGTAAAGATGTGGGAACAGAATCCAAACCCGGTTCTTTGGCTCAGCAGCTCTCTGTGGGTCCGGCCTGGAAGCTGCTTGGTTCTGATCCGGTGTCGGGTCTGGACTTCGTCAGTGACATCATCGCTGGCGTCCTGCTGTAAGCTGGGAGTGATCAATGCTTGTTGTCACAAACATGATGGGATTTCTTCCTCCAGTGTTTGTGCCTCTGTGAAGCCTGAGAACACGAACACACACACACACACACACACACACACACACAGCCCTCATTAGTAATGTATGGGGTGTCTGAGCCAGAAGTCATTTGTTTGTCTTTAAGCAGCTAAACTCTCTTTTATCCTGCTGATAATACATCGATTAGCATCTCAAAACCACACAGAAGCTTTTTAATCAAACCTAGAAAACACACACACACACACACACACACACACACGGCCACCTTGGGGGCCATAGGCCTCCTGTTGTGCAGCGTGTGATTACTGAAAGCATGGTGTTAGCGCAGCAGCTAATGAGCGCTGAAGCTGAGGACTCAATCCGCTGCAGTTTCAGCTCAACGTTTAAAAAGTTCATTTTGATCGGAATCAGTTCAGTTCAATCAGCTAATAAAACATTAATAATCAATACAACCGCAGCAGAAATGAAATGGATGTGGTTCATACAAACCACTCCTCAGTGAAACGCTCCTGAAAACGATTTAAAGGCTTAATAAATAAATCATGCAAACGGAAATAATTGAACTTGTTTTAATTTGTTATGCGAGTTATTGATTAATTGATTTATAGCTTATTGTGACAGGCCTAGTCATAACTATGAGAATAAGTGGTAAGTACAAGTTTTGAAGTGATAATTGAGAATAAAAGTCATAATTATGGCTTCCAGTTGGGCTTTTATTTTTCCTTTCCTGGCAGAAATGGTCTTCCGTACCTGTCCAGGTGTCACAATGTTTTCTCCTAGAGTCAGAACTCCTTCCTGGTTCAGTGAATCCACCAGAATCTATCTGGACCTGACTGAACTGAACGTCTTTTCCCTCCATTCGGCTGTAAAGCAGTGATGTTCTGCTTCTGCTGTTAAATTTAATCCGGTTTAACCGTCTCTGGTTCGGTTCGGTGAGATGTTTGGACCCGGTCAGTAGCGGATGATGCTAGCCGCCTGGTTAGCATTGACAGAAGAAGCCGTCTGTGTCTGCGGACTGAAGCGGTCCAGACCTTTTAGACAGTAAACAACTCATCCATTATTCAGAAGCGGCTCCGTCTCTCTCCGCTTGTTCATCGCCACCGAAGCTGTCAGAAGTCCTGACGGCTTCATGACTTATTGATCGGCTGAAAAGGTCACGCAGGAAGCTGCGTGCGGCACTTCCTGCCTCGTCTGTCTCCTCTCAAGTGCTTCTTCCTCTGGATCGCTTCTCTCCATCTGTTCAACACAAACACTGACTCATTTCTCCTTAAATTGGATTTCCTGACTCCAGTTCATTTGTGCTCTAATTGAGTTAGCCGATGAGACGCGTGTCCCTAACCGAGTCTCCGCTGCTCGTTAAATTCACCGCAGGCCCAGATCAGCCAAGACCGACTCACCCCGACTCTCTCCTCACTTTCTGCTGCTTCATGTCACTTTTAATGATAAAACATCGACAGACTTTTAATGACAGCCTTGGAAAGCTCCTGTATGGAAGCCCGTTCCTGCCATGAAAGAAAAAATAACAGGAAGTCATAAGTACATGTTTTAAAGTGACGAGATTAAAAATAATAAATACTAGTTTCAAACTCAATATCGAGTTTAAGTCATAATTATGAGAATAAGCCATCATTTTGGGTTTTAAATTAAAAGTTTTAAAGTAATTATAAGAATAAAATACTTTATTCTGAGTTTCAGATTCATAATTTTAAATTTGTCATAATTACAAGTTTTAAATGAACAATTATGAGAATAATTCATTATTATTAAAATATGTCTTAATTGCAAGTTTTAGTTAATTATGAGAATAATTAAGTTTTAAAACAACTACAAAAATGAAAGTCATAAGAATATGTATAAAAATTTAGAGTTTTAAAGTCATAACATCATCCCAAAAGGCCGACACGCCAGAACCTGGCCTTCTTCAAATAGGCATCTCAGACTTTGACTAGGCCACCTTGCTTTTGTTTGTTTGAACCAGTTATAGGTGGAATTACTGGTTTGATTTGGATCTTTGTCCCGCTGCAGAACCCAAACGGCCGGATGTTCTCTTCTGGAAAGCAGAACTCCTGGTTCTGATCCGTTCCACCTGGTTTTCTAGAGTTGTTTCTGAACGTATCGGCTTCATTGTTTCTCCACAGGGGAACATTATTAAAGCCTCGTTAGCTCTACAGGCTGTAATTTGCTCTCAGTTGTTCAGGAACTCGTTAAGTAATCAGGAATCGACTCTTTAACGGGATGAAATCAGTCGACTGGCTGCTGTACGTGTTCCCTTCATCACGTCTCCATCTACAGCTGCTGAGGAATCAAAACACGTTAATGATGCAGCAGTTCAGTCAGAATAATAATAATAATGATGATGATCATGCAGCGGTTCACTCAGATCTCTTCTCAAAGCTGTGGTCATACAGATTTATCATTTATAGATGTATTTCCATTCCGATGTTCTCTCCTGTCTTTCAGTCAGGACCAGAACCAGAATCTGACTGGTGATTGGCTGTTCTACTGACCGGGGATGGGACTAGTTAAAGTTTTCCTCTGGATACTGAGATATGGTGCAGCTGCAGTCATGTCCAGTCAGAACCACACAGCTGCCTTAAAAACACTGAAAATAAGTTATAAACACTTTAATATCACCACTTGTTACCACAGGAAAAACCACAAAATATTGAAATTTTACCATTATTCTTCAAAATCACATTTTCTTCATGTTTTTCATTCAGTCACAAATGTCACATCAACTAAATATCAGAATATTTAGCCACAAATAAATATTCAGCTAACACGCTTTATATTTATTTGTGGCTAAATATTAAGCTAGCTAGTTTGTGGCCAAGCTAAATATTTAGCTTGCTGTTTATAAAAGCTAAATATTTGCCATTTATAAAAGCTAAAGTATGTAGCTTTTATAAATGGCAAACATTACTTTGACGTTTATAAATGAAAGAAAAACCAGGTGAGATATGATGAAATATGCCTCGTTTGGTTCATAACCAAAGCTGTTAAATTTTGTACCTTCCCAAACGTTGCACCACGTTGGCATGTCGCCGCTTGCCGTCTGATCGTTCCCGTTCGGTCCAGTTGGTCTCATCACCGGCTGATCCGGGGCCAAACCGTCAGGGTCTCGACCCGCAGGAGCCGGACCTTGCTCGCTCTCGCCCTGCATTGAGTCATCAGCGGGTCTTTGTGTTGTCATGGCGACCCTGTCCATCAGCCCACCAATCGCAGCATTGTTTGCTGGGCAGTGATTGACGGGAGGTGATGGTAACCCGTAGCAACGGCTGTCAGAGTGGGGGAGGGGTGTTGATGTGTTTCTAATGCATGCAGCGTTTTTGTTCTCCGTCCTTTTGACTTGTGACCAGGACAGGAACGTGCTAATCTGTCCTCTGCCGGATCGTCGCTCTTTCAGCCGGTTCTCATGGTCATTAGCTCCACAGTATCTGACAGAACGCATTCATCCTCACATTTCACACTCATTAAAACGACACGGCCGCTTGAGGAGGGGAAGCGTCCTGATCGCTGTTTGTTGTTTGGTGTCTTGGCTTTGGAGAGACGAAACAATGGCTGCTGGAACTTTTCATCGTTCCTCAGAGGAAACATGAACAACTTCCCACGAAGATTGTAGTAGACAGGAAAAGTCACTTAGCAGATGGTTTTTGTTTTATGGAGCCGTCCAGCTCCTGGTCTGGACTGAAGGTTCCTCTTTCTCCGTCATCAAGATGTTTTCATCACCTTTAATAATATTTGGTTATCTTTTCATCACTGTTAGCTCTTTCTGTGAGTAAAGCGGTGGAGTTGAATATCTTCCAGCAGCATGTGCAGCACCAACAGAAAGGCGTGTTTTAATTGATTTGTTCCCTACAGGCTGCCGTATTTTCCTCATTGATTTTGTCCATCTGCAGCGCGTCAACGGCTCGGTGCGTTCGGGTCGAGCTCAGAGCGTTATGACGCTCCCAGAACAAAACGCAGCAGACCGATCCGTCCACATATTGATTTTCCTGCTGGGGGTCTGTGATGTGGAAAACCGTTGGACCTGTGTGATGCTGCCGGTGTTTACTGTAGATTAAGCTGTTAGCAGTCGATGGCGGCCATTGATCGGGATCCTGGGGGTTTAGCTCATGTTCTGGATGAAGAGCATCTGCAGGATATTCATTCATGAGTGTTTGGGTCTTGCTGCCAAGTGTGGTTGGCCTGGTCACATTGCTGCAGTCTGACCTGAGCCATGAAGGAGGAAATACCTGCTGGTGCTGGGTGGATCCGTTTGGGTTCACCCTGTGTAGAGACTACAGTCTGGGTTCTGTAGGTTGCTGTCATGTAGTGTCACTAAGCTGTACAGATGGAGGGCAGGCGGTGAGGTAGCCGAGGATATGCCAGAAGGAAAAATGTAGTTTATGGCTGCGAATCGTTCTAACAAGAAAAAAAAGAAAGAAATATTACTGAGTGTCAAAGGTTGAGAAATGTGTAAAAACCTCAGAAAACAACCTGGTCAGGAGGGGCGGCGTCAGATTTTAGCTGTCGGAGGATTTCTCCTTAGTCTTTGGCTAAAGACCACAAGCCATTTCTCCTGCTAGTGCTAGGCTACCACATTTGTTTTGGTTGTATTTACCCAGAATGCCCTGCACTATAGTCCACTTACTGCTTTTGGAGCGGTCTCTGGTCCGCTTGGCATTCACATTCAAACCGAACCCAGACCCAGAGTTAGCTTAGCATTCACATCAACTGAACTGGACTTTCTGGAACATCATTAAAGCGAACTGAACAGGACTGATGTGAATGGTGCAACCTAAAATACAGTTTAGATAACAGTGGTTCACGTCCGTTATCTGGTTGGAGCTACAGCAGAAGGACTGGTGCGCCATGTTAGTCTTCGCTTTAGCATGACGCCATGTTGGGTGTTTGGGTTTAAACTTTCTCCTGAGTACGATGGACCGAGCTGCACCGACCCGATCAGGAGAAGCCGGGTTTTAGTGGATGTTCACCTATTTTTGTTTTCATGTTTGTTCATTTTCTTCACAACCGGAGCACCAGCAGGTCAGACTTGGTTCTCAGCTCATTACAAACATTGTTTGAGTGTTGAGCTCAGACCTTTAAATACATTTTCACCCTGATGCTGTTTTCTGTATGTGAACTCGCAGCTCATGGATAATCAATAACATCTTCCATGTTTGTAGTTCACCTCAGTCTTCAGTGGTTTGAAAACTCTCTAAATATTTCATTAACCCCACTGGAGTTCCTGCGAACACTTCAAAGTCTGACTCTTGAGCATCTCTTTTTTCTTTTTTTTTAAATCTGAAGTGAGAAGTTTTTCCTTCAGTCCACATCAGAAAGATTAAACGGCTGCTTTCAGCTGCAGATCAGCCTGACGCCCACAGACCAGCTGTCTTTCTTCCACAGAGTTTAAATTCATTATCTGTCATGAAACCGGTTCTCCAGACGCTTCCTGACATCCAGCTCCTCTCCACCTGCAGTGACTCGGAGCAGGTGAGTTCACGCCGAAGTCTCTGTCCTCAGGATGCTGATTACTTTGGTGGCAAACTTTAAAGAACTTAAGACAACAAAAACCTTTTCCTGTGGCTCTGAGATGCTTTCTCTACCTTCAGCAGGTGCATTAAAGGGACGGTATCATGTGTTCTCCTTTAATAGCACGCTCAAGGAACTAACTTAAATTGCTGTGGAAATCCTATATATATATCAAATATGACTCAAAGGAACTTTGACTTCCTGATTCAACATCTTGAAATTGGGTCTCTGTCTCTTTAAGAACTCCTGCTTTTGCTGAAGCTCCGCCTCCAGGAAGGCATCCCAACAATAACCCTTTAACGTTTTTACCAGTGCTGCCATGAGCAGCAGCTCCTATAAGGAGCTCAGCAGATGTTTGCTAATTGCTGCCGGCTAGTCTGGAGGAGCTGAATGAGGGAGGAGTTGCACTCTGAAGGCGGGGCTAAGTCCACCCAGGTGTTTTAAACAGTTGACTGGTTGCCATGGAGATTAGAGGATTTCTGAAACATGAACGAATCAAAGCAAAACTCCAGGTTTGTTTTTAATGAAAACTTGATGGAAACATTCAAGTTGATTTTTTTGTGACCCCGCCCCTTTAATCGGCTGTTCCTCAGCGACCTGAATCGGGACTCTGTGAATCAGTGCGCCATGTTCAGGAACTGAAGCTGTGAAAAATAAGCCATGCGAATCGGTTTTGTTTGTTTTTTTGTTATTGACAGGAAGTTTAGTTTTAAGGAGGGGAAGACGCGGTTAAGATGATGGCCGCCACACCAAATCAGTAGTTTTTATTAGAATAAAGCAGGACTGATAGATAAAACAATAATATCTATTGATACTTGAGCAGCATCAGGATAAAATGCTTGACAGAACCAACAGGGTGAAGAACTGATCCGTCCCCAAATGAACCGGACTTCAGCTTGATTTTAGCTAAACTGGGCTGGTCAGAAACAAACTGCTTTCTGAATTCATTTCAACGCCTGTTTCTCTCTTAAATATATGATTTTCTTATGGATTAGACATATAAAATCAGATTTTTAAAATTTTGTTTGTAGAAAAGCTGAAGTGTCCATTCTGCAGTTTGGATGTTTATTGTGACCAGACGTGTTTGAGCCGTGAGTCGGTTAAAATCTCACATTAATACCTGAAGCTGAACTAGTTTATAGTTTTTCTGCCTCCACATTCTCAGTCAGAACCTGACACTTCACTGAAAAATAAAATAAAAATAAAACACTCTTCACTGGATAGTCTTTGTTCAGCAGAGGACCCAATAAACGAGCCAAACGGAGAGTCCGTTCCTCCTGAGCTGTTCCGCCGGGTTGATCCGATTCCTTTAACCAACAGGCGTTTCATTTTCCAGCATCCTGAGATTTATTTATAGTCAAAGTTTACAGCAGCAGCCAAGTCTTTATAACACACACAGCGTCGGGGTGGGGAACGCGTGGGCTTTGGGTGACTCAACACATTTGCTTCTTAGGGTGTGTCATAAACCCAGAGCTGAACCCACACACACCTTGTTGCCCCTGGCAACCGGTTCCAGCCTGTCGGAGCTGGCAGTTGGACTGATGTGTGTGAACATCCACAGCTCAGAGGGAGGGAAAGTTTGCTGCTGTTCTATAGATATTAGTGACGGTGGGGTCAGTTACTGATGAACCAAACAGAGATGGAGGTTTATGTCTCGTTTTGGTGCAAAACTTTTTGTTGTACATTAAATTTGAGAGTTTGGATTATTTCTGCATCAAGTTAAATTTAAGACTTTTAGGAATGTTTCCAGTGATGCAGATGGATTTTGTTGGCGGGATGTTCACACTGGGAGCGGAGAAATCAAAGAAGAGCGTGGACACATGGAGCGGCGTCTCCCTCCGTCTGCCAGCTTCCTCTGCTCATTAAGCCGCTAGCGCCTGCGCTAGCTGAACCCGCTACTCTCCGCAGTAATGAGCGCAGAACCGGACCGAGACGAGACGTTCCGAGGTCGTAAGGTCAGGAGGAGTTCATAGACGTTCCAGGGAGCTTTGAACCGCCTCAGCTAACGGCTGAGTCAAAGATCAGAGTCTGAACTTTGCTTCATAACTGCATTAAAACACAAGAATAAATGATTCAGCAGAAGCTGCAGGAGTCAAAAGAAACCAAAATGAATCAACAAGCAGCAGAACAGACGTCTACAGACCTCCATGTCTCATTAATGAGAAGCAGTTTCCAAAAACACCACCAGGGGCGTATGCGAGCTGATTCAGTTATTCTGGTCAGACGGAAATATTCTCCTGTTGTCCTCAGACTGCTGCAATCAATCAGTTCAACACAGTTTTATCAAAATTAAGACATTTAAATAAAATGCAGGCCTGCCAGTGATGACATTTAATCATTAGCATTTATGCTAACCAACGGGAAGGGTGTTTCATGCATGTTCAGGATTATTACAATAAAATTCATCCAGGTAGGATTTTATTGTTTTTATGCTAATATCACACTGGGGTCAGAGGTGAGTCATGGTAATTAGCTTAAAGGTAAAATCAGTATTTTGAAATACAAGAGCAGAACAGATCAATAACCAGCCAGGTTCACAAATGTTTTTAACTGAAAGGTTTTAACTAGAGGCAGGAAAGCAGCGGCTGGAGCTGCAGGCTGTAACACAGCTGGAGCTGAACGAGGCCGTCGGCGCAGTCACGATGTTGGAACTGGCCCTCAGTCTGTCAAAGCCTCCAGAACCTTGATCCGCCGATTAAAAGGTCAAAGATTGGACGGTTTTTCGCCCTAACATGACCCGACTCAGGATCGGGTCACCAAACATGTGTGCTGCTGTTTAAAGCCTTCATCTGCTAAATGCAGACCCTCATAATCCCAAACGTCCCTGCCTGGACCTGCACAGCCTCCTGAGTTTGGATTTAATCAACTTTTAACCTGCAGAAACAGGAAGATTTCCTCAGCCTGTGAAATCTGGGTCCTTATGATCATCTTCTCATGTTGATGCAGATTGTTCTGACGGGATTTCTCCTGCATTATGCTTGATTTAAGGATTAAACTTGATGCTTTGAATGATTAATATGAACCCAGACATGGTTATGTAATCTTATATTGCTCGCAGGTCACATCTGATTAAAATCAAAGATTCTTGAGCAAAGTTGGGAAGGGAATCATGATTCTCTACTATCAGCAAACCTGAGAGATCTGAGGGGAAAGCATATATAAGGGTGTTAAAAGATCATTTGTGTAAATTAATCTTCCCCAGTTGGGACCCATCATTGCACACCTGCACTGCACAGAACCTGGATCTGGGTCCGATCTGGTGCCTGCGGAGTCAGAGACGGTTAAAGCTCGGTCTTCTTCACCAGGTGAAACGATGACCATGGATAACCGGACAGTACTGATCCTGTGTGTTGGGTAAAAACTGATGAGCAAGAAGCAGGGAGCTGTGAAAATATTCAATTTAAAGCATTAGAACAAATTTACAAACATCGAAACGATTCTTCTCCAGATCGCGCTTTGAAAGCCATCTTTCAAAGCGCGACTGGTTCATCCTCCTGTGTTTTGTATTTTCAGCGATGCTAAAAGTCTGTGATGCGTTGAAACAGATTTCCTGACTGCAAAAAAGCAACAGAAGGATTCAGAGAAAGAAAACGGCGAAAGTCACAGAAAAGTAACGCGACTGCTCTGTTGCTCAATGCGATCTTTAAAAAGCGGAGCTAGCTTTAGCCTCCAGCTAGCAGCGGCGGGAGGAACTAGCAAATATGGCGACGGGCCAAATTAGCTGCGGCGCGTCCTGCCCTGACACGCAGCGACATCCGGTCATCACTGAACTAACGTTTTAACCAGGTTTGGCTGTGAGGGGGAATAACCTGTCTGAGCTTGGTAAGGAAATAAACCTGATAATTACAGAGAAAGATTCGGTTGATAAAAATTGAAAGATGGAGACGGATGAAAAAAGATAAAAATGAAGGATAAATAAATATGTTACATAGAGGGTGTACTGTGTTTACAACACATCCTCTTCCTTTTTTCTTTCTGTTGAAAATAGGCATATTCAAGGTGTTCAAGTATTTCTTTAATAAATACTAAATATATTTTGTTTGTAATTTACAGTCAATGTAATTACAGTAATCAACCGTTGTACAGAAAGATCGCAGTTCTAAGAAATCAACTGTGCACCGATTGCAAATTTCTGGCCGATCACCAATATTTAAAAAACCTGACTTGCAGAATTTTTTGTGTGAGCAAAATGTAGTCAACAAATTACTCTGTTGGGAAAGACTGATGTAAACCTGCACGGGGAGATGACTGGTGGTTGGGACCGTCCAACAGGTGGACAGGGGCTGATTTCTGTGACCTTGTAGGTAGATAAGGTTGGTGGATCGGATCGGTTCCACCAGTAAGTCACGACCAACGCCGACCACCCAAAGGGAAGGAAGTCAAATATAATGTGTGCATGTTAACTGTTTAACCATGGTCACGTCGGGCCCGGCCGACGTGTCAGCCGAGGACCAGGGAGGTTCATCTGACGGGTTCGGGTCCTGACCCGTTTGGTCTGCTGAGTGAAATCAGGGGAAATGAGTTTGTTTTTAATCTTTTAATCGGTCAGAGTTTGATGGCTGGTGGTTGTGGCTCCTCTGCCCTCGTCACGTTGGGGTCGCCGTGTCGCTCTGCGGAGGAACACCCTGCAGCATCTCTGGCAGACAGATAATCCATAATCCTGATTGTATGAAGCTGCTGCTTACGTTAAATCCTCTCTGCTGGACAGCCTGGGTCATGTTTCCAGGGTCAGAGGTCAAAAGGCTTCGTCTCTTTATTACATCTCTGAACACACAAAGCAGAGCAGGAAGCTGACAGGTGGTGTTATCGCTGCTCCATCACATTATCACCCGCCCACGCATCGCTGCGCTGCTCTCTCTTATGAAACCAGGCTGCAGATCCAGGTTGAGCTGGAATCAAACGGTACCAGTACTCTGGACCTGAGACCCGGTTACATCAGAACAGAGTCTCGGTGATTTGGA